GTACAATGGCGGAGAAGCAGGCTACACAAGCCTCTGGCTCGGTGCATGTCGCCATGGTGGCAGGTTTGTGTCTTCTCCGAAATGCTGCCCTGGGCGCTTCCAACGACGAAGGCAAAATGATCAGGAAACAATTGCACAGCGTAGCAGAAGCCCTCAAGCAAAAGGTTGAGGCACTCAAGCTTGCTGACAGTGCTGACCAGGCGCTGGTAACGAAGGCAGAAAAAGTTTTGAAGGAGGCAGCAAGCCAAGAAAAGGTCGGCGCCGCCGACGCAAAAAGCCAAGCAGCTGGGAAGGATCTTGCTCCCCAGAAAAACAAAGACGGCAAAGAAAAGGCCCACAAGGAGGAGAAGGAAGAAAAAATGAAGAAGGAAAAGAAAGACAAGGACAAGGAACACAAGAAGGAGAAGAAGGAGAAAAAGAAAGAAAAGGAAGCAAGTGCAGACGAGGCGCCAGAACCTGCGCCTAAGAAGCGCCGCACAAACGAAGAAGCTGCATCACAGGAGGTGGCCACCAAAGGGAAGGGCAGGGGCAGAGGAAGAGGCAAGCGCTAGGTCAACTGACCCAAAGCCAGCCTGCAGCCTGCAGCGTGTTTTGACTTGGGAAAAAAGGCACGTTGCAGGCTGCCAGTCGCTGCACTGCTATTGCCAATTGCTACTTCACTTTCTGAACGCCAACCCTGACAGCTTGTTCGCTAGCTTGCTTCTAGGTCATTGTAGGACCAACATTGGGTCAGTAAGTTGTTTCAAACCGCTTGTGCACTTGTCTCGGAGTCGCTGTTTTTGGTGGGTTACCAAGCTTTTGAACTTTCTGCTGTCTAAGGTTGCCTACTGGAGCCATCTTTGGCTCTTGTGCCTGGTGACATGCACTGCAGTGTGCATGCTGTGGCCATGTTGACAACATAACAGGTAGTCCTAACCTATGGCCTATGGCCTATGGCCATGGCCCATGGTTATAATAGGATAGGATAGGCAACGCGGCAACGTGCACTTTTGTGAAATTCATCATGGTTTGTCAGCCGTATGTCCCTAGCTGTTACAATTCTGCCCTTACCCTTGTCTTTCTCCAGCACACCGGGCCATGGCCTTTTCGAGGGTTTTGGCGAAAACCGATTCTTGTACCTCGGAACCTGAAGCGCTGCTGAATGTTGAATTGGTCAGGCAGGCTTCCAGCCGTGTGGCAGATCCAGAAAGCCTTGTTTGTGGGGATGCTGTGTATGAGTTTGCGGAAGAAAACTTGGAGGGCTTCAAGACCTTGTTTCCGCAATTGTTTGAAGAACAGGCTGCCGCTTCAGAGAAGGTGGCCTTGACGTGGGCATCAGCTTGCAGTGGGTCGGAAGGCGCTTTCTATGTCATGGAAGCATTGTCCAGAGCCTACAAAACACACACAAATTCGCAGCTGGAAGTGTCGTTGACGCACCTGTTTTCCTGTGAAAACAACAAAGACAAGCAAATGTGGATCCAAACAGTTTTGGAAGTTGGCTGCTTGAAGTCACCAGTCTCAGACTTGGTCTCAGATGTGGAGGCTGCTTCAAGTGCCTTTGGCAGCGTCTCCCACCATCTCTTCGATGACATTCAGAAGCTAGGAGACATAGAAGCCCCTTGCGTTTGCCATGGCCAGCTTTGCGATGTCCCAAGTTGCGACATTTTTGTCGTTGGCTCTTCGTGCAAGGATTTTAGTAAGGCCAACCCAAAGAAGGAAACGCAAAAACTGGTGTTTCATCAAGAAAGCTCTTTGGGGGGCTCAGCCCAAACTTACCAAGGTTTCACCAAGTATGTGGCCGCCCATGCTCCAAGCTTGATTGTTTATGAAAATGTTGATGGGCTTGAGGAACAAATAGGTTCCACCGAGCAATCCAACTTAGACGTCATAATGCGGACCATGGCACAGCTGGGGTACAAAGGGCAGCCAGTGCGGACAGATGCTGCGGCCTTTGGGCTGCCAGCACGAAGACGCAGGCTGTACATCTTGTTTGTAAGGAAGGTGAACCCAAAGGTGCACACAGAAGCCCGGTCTCTGACCAAGTCTTTTGACATGTTCAACCATATGGTCGCATCTTGTGTGAGATCCCCGCCTTGCGCCACACGTGTTCTTCTAAATTCCGCCTCAGGCGAGGTCTTCGCCTTTTTGGACGAGAGGAGGGAAAGCAGAGCCCAAGCTGCGTCAAAGGCTGCAAAATCTTCCAGCAGCTGGACCGAACAACACATGAAATTTGCTGAAAATGAAGGTCTGCGATGGGGGCAGCCTTACCCCGAGGCGCTGAAGCTGAACGCATGGTTTGAAACATTGACAGAGAGAGAGCAGGATGTTGTGGTACTGTCGAGAGCCCAAGCGCCTGATGCAGGATTCAGGAACGTTCCCCAAACCCTTGGAAGGGTGAACACAATTAGCTACTGCCAGGAGACTAAGAAGCACCTGGCGCCAACCATGCTCCCTGGCCAGATTCTCTTTGTTGAAGTGGCAAAACCACCAAGAATTATGCTAGGTAGAGAGGCGCTAATCTTTCAAGGCTTTCCAGTCGAGCCCTTCTTGAAACAGGTGGCTGACGAACACATTGACATTCATCAGCCCGCAAGAAAGGGCAAATCAAGCAAGCGGTCTACTCAGTCCAGAAAGTGAGGGGCTGATGACTGACTTAGCTGGGAACGCGATGGCTCTGCCAGTGTTGCTTGCCATTACCCAGAGCGCAGTAGCATCTTTGCTTTTTAGACCAGCTGACAGCGCAGCTACTACAGAGGAAACAGACAACGCCCTTGCAGCAGTAGGCGTCCTTCTAGGCTCAGAGACTTAAACCGAAGCAGGCTTTGCCTTGGTTTTGGCCTTGCGCAGTTCGCTTCAACTGAGGCTTTGCTTCAAGAAGTTTCACTGTTGACTTGACTTTGAGCCTAGCTAGTGTGAAAAAATGCGGCAGGTCTTGCGGCTGGGCGAGGCTTAACCGAACCTCCTCTGCTGGCTGAAGTATGTAAGGGTAGGGGTCCTCAGGCTCGAACTGGCTGCAAAAACTGCAGAGGCAGTAGGCATGAAGGTCTGTGCCAGGGTCCACTGCATGGGTGGGAGCAGTTTCTGGTGGACCTAGAAAAATAGATTGAGTCAGATTGAGATTTTAAACTCTAACGTTTTAAACTTATAACTACTGTATAAGCTTGTTCTGAACAATGAACTAGGTGGCAGCGCTATCTAGTCCAATATGGTGCGACAGGCCACAGGCCATGGGCCCATAGGCGGTTTGACCTGAGCCTAGTGCAATTGGAGCTGGTCACAATTCAAGGCTTTAGTTTACCCAGTCAGCTGGTGGCTGGTGGCAGTTTTTCCCAGGCGCAGCTCTTCGCTTTCCATGTTTCTTTTGGCTTCAGGACGCCGGCCTTTCTTGTTGTGACTTCCTGCTTTCTGTTTTGCCCGCTGTGCCTCTTTGCCATGTTGCAGCTTGCAATGGGAGACTGGCTCTTGCTCGGCTTAGCTTTGTCATTCCTCTTGAACTGTGGCTTTGGAATTGGGATTGGGGTTCTACTTTGTTGCCATTCTTCAGCTGCTTCCTGTAGCAAACCTGGTAATGGCAGAAACCCTTCGAAAGGGCCCTGCACGTGTTTGCAAGATTCAGGGCTCAGCCCATGTGACAACGATCTGCCAACAGGAGCACACAGCAAAAAGCATGATGATTTTGATTCTGCGGTTCATCTGGCTGCATCAGCGTATGTACTCCACTTTCAAGGCTCTGATGTGTACCACTGTACAGCCAACTGTCAGCATATTAGACGAAGGGGTGCTGGCAAAGCTCAGCAACTCAGGCCCTGCAAGCATTGCGCACAGCAGGGCTGATGCAATACCAATACCTGTATTTGGACGGAAAAAATAGCTGCTGGAGCTGCGGCTGACCCTGCTAGGTCCTATCAGGGTTGCAACCAAGAGAACAACTATCAGATGTTTTGTTGGCTAATGGGTCCAGGCTGGTGCGCTTGTCTGTTTTTGGACTAACTGTGGTTCCATTGGCTGCAGTCGAATTGAAACCCTTGAGGGGCTTGAACAAAAGCTCACACACATGTGGAAACAAGTTTCATCCATCAAGTCAGCGCTTGCGCCAATACTATCTTGAAGGAAGTAGCAGAAAAGGCTACCGCTTCGACATAATTGCGGAGAAAAGTGTTTCACATATTGATACCAGCGCTAGAACAAGATGCAGCACTGCAGCACTCGTTTAAAGTTGGAAGCAGTGCCAAAACAAAACAATTTCAAACAATGGCAAAAATAAAAAACTTTTAAAATGACTGTTAGTAAATTGAAAAACATGTTCAAAGATTTTCAACAAGTCCCAAAACAATTGAAACAATTGCTGCAAATTTTCAACAATTTTGGAAACAATTGAAACAATTGCTACAACAATTTTGAGCAGTTTTCAACAAATTCTATAACAATTGAAACAATTGCTACAACAATTTTGAGTAATTTTTCAACAATTTCCAAAACAATTGAAACAATTGCTACAACCATTTTGAACAATTTGCAAACAATTAAAACATTTGCCAAATCAATCTTAAACAATTGCAAACAATTTCTCTATATCCCCAAAGCTCCCGGACTACCAGGCTTCTTAAAAACAAACAATATATATATATATATATCTACGTTTTTCTTTTTGGTGGTGTCTACGGTGTCAATTGGCGGGTGCTCCACGGCATGTTCATGCAATTTCGGTCCCCCGGAACCAAACCAAACCAGGCAGCCTGTGGGCAGCCTGCACATGACACTGCTTGTGCCCTTGACGTAGACACAGGCACCGCAAGACTGAGTGCACCCAAGGGAACCCCTTCGGACAGATGATCCGACAGCAGCTAATGTGTATGCTCGGCACGAACCTGTCATGATACGAAACGACTATGCAGTACATGTCCCTACTTCCCTCAAGTAACTTCTCAACATTGGGCAATTGGACAAAAAAGGGCAGGATGTTAGGAGTGCTGATATTGTTCCATTTTTTTTTCTCCTGCTTTCCTTGCCCAACCCCGAAGGCCTCAGCTCAACCGACGCTATTGGAGCTACGTGGCTGGTCCACTGCTGTGCCTCCAGTCGCCGCCAGCGACGACGCTGGGTGCGGTGCTTATGGCTTTCGAGATGAGGTACGGCGGAGATGACCGCTTACCGCTCTGAGTGTTCAACTGGTTGACTCTTTCCATCTCTTTCCTATTGCTCAATGGCCTTTGACGGCCTTTGTATGTTTTTTTAAAACATATATATATAATATATATATTATATATTACTTATTAATGTATGTGGGTTCTTTCACTCATGGCATCTCATGTTCCTGAATGGATCACGATCAAAGGACGTCGGACTTGGATGGTCTGTTGAAAGCATATTGGTGATTAAACAACGTGTGGGTGGTTTCTGTGTCTCGGCGTCTCAACCTTTGTCCGGCGACGGGATCGTTTGGGGATGTTTTGGGGTCACGGTGACGTCCGATGGCCGGACCAAGCCACACATTGGTGCCTTCCGATCATTTCAGGTGCTGGAGCATACCTCCGTCAGAAGCGCTGAACTCTTGAACCAGCTCGAGTTCCGAGGGTATATGGCAATGTTGGGTTCTGAACAGCCCCAAAGCATCCCAACTAATTTGATCGAACTTGATTGATTTGGGCACTATTCTACTGTGCTCTACTGGCTTCGCACAGGTCGCTCGAAGGGCCGTATCAGTACTGCGCGTCTTGGCCCGTTTTTGGAGTTGTTGTCAAAGATGTTTGATGTGAGTAGAGACGTTGAGGTTGGATATTGAGGTTTGGGCAGCACCACTTGCACAAAATGTTTTCAGGCTGTTTGGTCCAAAACTGAGACACAAACTGCTGGTGCTGGGAATCAAGGTGAGGCCCCCTCGAAGTCGCCACGAGAAAAGCAAGCAGTCGATGTTCTGTGGAACATGGACGCCAGGAGATTTTGATTGAAACTCCCCAAAGGGAACGACATTCAACACACTTCAGCTTTGAGGGAATACCGTATATACACTGTCTTTTATTTATATGTTGCTTTGGTCTCTCTCACTAGGATGCATCACAGAGATGTGTGTGCTCAGAAAGTGTTCAGTTTTTGCCCCACGCTGCGCAATTCTGAGGTCCAACAAATTGAAAACAGTTCTTGCCTGCAAGTTTGCTCTGTGGGGTATGCCACTCAGCTGCTGTTGTCAGAAGATGTTGGTTCCAAGTCCAAGTCAAGCGTTCTACTGCCTTTTGCGTGCGATTCTTGGAAGTTGCCAGCGTAGAATGATTTGGGTCGATTAGGTCGATTGTAGGTCTGTGTGCCGCCCATCCTATATAAAGTGGAGTATGTTGTTTCTTGATTCTTGATGTTTATTGAAGAACTCGTGTTTTGCTTGTTGGGCGGGCAGATGTATTGCTTCCAAAGCTGCGAAGGCGAAGATCAACTGGCAGCGCTTGCTTTACACCCGAACCTTCGGTTGCCAGAACAACAACGGGAGGGCAACAGGCATAGGGCTTTTGAGGGTCGTTAGTCGTTGGATGAGCGAACAACCTTGAGTTGACGAACATGCAGCCCTTGATTGGATCCTAATTGCATCTAATTACTAGCGCTAGCACATGCTAGCACCAGGGGATGCACTCCTGAGACAGCTGACTTTGTGTGGATTTGTGCTGTTGCAATTTCTAGGTGCAAGGTAGGTCTTAATAACTACTTATTCGATCTTTTTTGGGAAAGTACGATAGGTGGCATGGAGAGAGAGAGGGAGGGAGGTAGACTTTGTACAGTAGTGTTTAGAGAGCCCTTTGGCTCAAAGAAATTCATTGATCCCACAGAATCCCACACATATACTTTTGCACCTCGATGTTCACCATCTTCACGAATCATGCTGAAACCGGCGCAATTTTGTATCTCAGGTTCCAGCCTGGTCCCAACACGCTTTCCTCAGCACCTCCATGCCTCAAACCTCGGCTTGGACGACCTGCACGACCTGCGCCGTCCCACCGAGCCCTGCAACGCCGTCCCGGCGCCAAGACCGTCCTCCGTCGCAGTCGCCGCGGTGCAGCTGGGGGCGGTCGCCGTCGTCTCGAAGGTGCTGGGTGTCTACCAAGACACGGGCGCCTGGGAGGAGAATAGACGCCTGTGATGTCCGCACACCTGCGAGGACGAAGGAAACCCAACGAGGGAAATCTTGTTCTCGGACATCACGTGGCATCAGACGCTTCCACGCAAACCACCGCGAAGGTCGCAGTGGCATGGACCCGTTTTTTTCACATGGTTGACCGGTTGATGGACCTTAAACGCCCTCCAGGCATGGACTTCAATGGAGCTGTCCTTTATCGGCATGCTACGATGTCTTGGCCACCCCTCTTCCTGCGGTACTACCCACGAAGCCAGGAGTGGTGTGCCTCAGTTTGTAGTCGGGGGATGTCGGGGGGGTGGTGCACACAGCACACGTCCTTTTCTGTTTTTTTTTGAGGACCAAGGGGCATTCCCTGAGAGTTGGCGAGTTGGCCTGTGTTTGTTGTGTGAGATGGGCTTACAGATCTTACAGCATACCAAATCCGTTCTGTTTATGACCGTGTTTGAAGATGGGCACATCCCCTTTGAGGGGAGTGCTGTGTTTTTAGAAGCAGAAAACTTTCAATTTTGTCTTTGAAAGCGAGACCATTTCTTTGCAGCCACTTCCGGCCTCAGCCACTTCCAGCCTTGAAACGGCCGGTTTTCAAATGCAACTTGCTACACATCCTGAATCTACGGTAAATTTGCTGTAGCTTTGGCGTTAGTTTCTGCGAGACTGGCTGGGTTTCCAGGTGTTGAGATGGGCTGGTGCTATGTGCACGGCTGCCTCTCGTCATGCAATTGAGGCACAGCCTCCTCGCCTGGGGAATTTGGCGCTGCATTCCAGTGACAACGTGTGTTTTCCACCACCTAACTCTTTCAGTCTCAGCTCCTTGAACCTGAGGCTTTCAAGCCAACCCGGAGGCTGCCGGCTGCGGCTCGCCGTGGATGGGCTGCCGCCAGGGCATTGAGGCGGACGGCAGGTTCAACGGGGCCCTGTCCCTATTTGGTTTAGGAGGGGCTTGCCACAAGAATAGAGGCCTTCAGATGCGTATGAAAAACTGTGTCGTTTATACTACCGTGAAATTCTAAGCGAGAGAGACTGTTTCTTCTTGTTCCCCACATTGACGCGTGGGTTTTTGGTTTCTAGTGTGGTATCCGCTCCTTCCTCCTCCTCCTCCTCCTCCTCCTCCCTCCTCCTCCTCCTTTTCCTCCTCCCGCCTCCCACTTGTCACCAACCACTCACCAACAGATTGTCATCAACATATTGTCACCAAAACAAATTGTCACCAATCACACCAACCAATTGTTAACAACCAATTGTTAATTAACAACACATGTCCACCAACCAATTGTCATGAATTGTTAACAACAAATTTCCACCAACCAATCGTCATCAACTAATTGCAATCAACCAATTGTCATCAATTGTCATCAACCAAGTGCCATCCACGAATTGTCACCAACCAATTGTCATCAACCAATGATTTGCTTGCTAATTGTTTTCTCCAGCGGTTCGGATGTACGCCCTGGCGCTGGCTGGGGCTGCTGGGGCTCCGCCGCTGTGCCGCTGTGATTTGCGTGCGTGGTGTTCAAAAACACAGTGTTTTACAGGGTTTTGTGGGCGTGGAAGATCCACAATTTGGACAGTGGCGAAATGCAACAACTGTTGGTTTTACAAGAGTGGTGTCGGTAATGCGCGCCGCGGGGACGTGCATAATCGGATCTTTTTTTGGTGATTAGCTCCTGTCAACGCAAAAAAGGCGCAACATGTGCCCCAAGATGAGCCCCAAGATAGGTCCAAGATGAGTTACAATAGCCCTAAGATGGCCTAACATAGGCCCAAGAGGGGCGCAACATAGGTCACGAACCAATGGTCATCAATCATCAATTGTTACCAACCAATTGTCACCAACCAATTGTCAGCAACGAATTGCCACCAACCAATTGCCACCAACCAATTGTCATGAACTAATTGTCCCCAACCAATTGTCACCAACCAATTGCCACCAACAAATTGCCACTCGCCAATTGTCACCAACCAATTGCCACCAACTAATTGACTAATTGTCACCAACCAATTGTCATCAACCGACTGTTATCAACCAGTTGTCACCAACAAATTGTCACCAACAAATTGTCACCAACAAATTGCCACCCACCAATTGTCACCAACCAATTGTCACCAACTAATTGTCACCAACCAATTGTCACCAACCAATTATCAACAACAAATTTCCACCAACCAATTGTCACCAACCAATTGTCATCAACTATTTGTTGCCAACCAATTGTCATCAACCAATTGTGTTCTCCAGGGGTCTGGCCCGGTGCTGGCTGGTGCTGGTGTTGGCCGGTGCTGGTGGGCCTTTGCCCTTCTGAAAGGGTTATTTTGATGGTCTTTTAAAACATCATGGTCTTCAACCAATTGTCATCTATCAATTGTCACACCAACCAATTGCCACCCACCAATTGTCACCACCCACCTACGCAGACATTCTCTCTTGCTAAGTTGCTAACATGCGGGGTCATCCGGTCCTATAATTGTTTGGTGGCCAGCTAGGCATTAAAGAAGACTGCAGGGTTCCACTGTTTGTCACGACCATAACTTTCTTGAGGGAAGTGACTGTTGTTCATTGAGCAGCCGAGTGAAGATGTGTGTTGTTGATGTTGGTGCATTGTTCAGAGGCACTGGTTGGAAGCGAGTTCAAACAGCAAAGAAGGCTGCCCTGACCAAAGGTGTAAGTATACTGAGAAGGCCTCCAGCTCGTGTTGTTTTGGTTTTGTTTTGCAGTGGAAGCGTGGTTTGCATCCATGCAGCCTGTCAGGTGATGTGCTTGAAGGATACTACATGGGCGATTCGTGATTGGATTTCATCGAGAGAGCTTCTCGACGGAGGAGCACATCCACCGTGTTTGTGGCTCGGGAAGGGCCTTAGCCAAACACATTCTGGCAAGGAGGTAGTTTGGCAAAGTCTAAGTCTAAGTGTTTGTTTGCTGGCCTGGCCTCCAATCTTGGCCAACATAGGCGAACAGGTCCATACGATCCACATCCGGGAAGTCCTGAGGCCTGAGTTGCAGCACGCCCAACGGCGGATCGAGGAGAACTGCTGTCCAGTTCTTTGGACCAAATCCAAAGGCAATATCTATTTCGATATATATATATATTATATTATATCTATATTTCGATAGAGATGATAAGGGCTCTTGGAGCAAACATGAAAAATACTGAGGAACAGGCGTTTACAATGTGTTACCGTGTTATGCTCTTCCACCACCTCAGATGCACAATGTGTGTTGAGCACAGTCTCAAGTCTTTGCTCGTTGCTCGCTTTCATGGTGTGGTTTGACCACTTATTGATTCACTTTTGGATGTTGAACAGTTGAAACCATATTGGTCGCCTCCATGAAGCAATCAAGTGCCATTCAATCAATGAACAGGACTACAAAACTCTCCAGAACTCATCAAACATTTGTGATGACTCCTGAGCTGTTGGTACCTGTGGCCATGTGTTCAGTCCACAAAGCGGCTTCTCAGGATGCGCTCTTAACTCTTCCAGGAGCTCATCAGGAGATCTGGATCGGGAGCCGGTGCCATCTCAAGGTCCTCTTGAAGATAGTGTTTAGACACGGTCTCCTTGAAGATGGCTGATAGTAAGGGACAGTTTCCATGTGCACTTTTGGGGAAATGAAGGAAGGAGTACAGTAAGAGGACATGTTTGGGGGGCGCACCTGTTGTTTCAAGAGGGATGGTTATTTCGCCTGCTAGCCACTGACCGCGGGCTTCAAAAACACCCAGCTGCTCCATGTCGTCCACTGCTCCAGGGGTTCGTGGGTTTTGTGGCCTATGAAGCCACAAGACCCGCTGTGGCCTGTGAAAGCCGCCCGGTTTGAGGAATATGATCTGATATGATCGTTTTTGTGCGTGCCATTTTTGGGGTGGAAGTTCTTCCTGGAATCTAGTGCCCTCCCTGGAACACACCAGTCACAAGAATACAGGTGTTGCTTTCCGTCATATGGTTGAGAATGTTCGGAGAGGTTGTATTACATCATATTATATATACACAGTAAAGAATCAGTATAGAAGTGAGTTTGGATGTTGTGACCTTGGCCCTACCCCTATTGTCCAGACAAGAACTTCCACTTATCAGGAGAAGGCAGGTTTATTGCGCCTGCCTCTTGTGATGGGCAATTACACAGGACTGGGTGGGCAAGTTTTGAAACTCGGCCCTGTTGTAGCACATGCATACTGCATTGCTGCATGGATGTTTTTTTTGGCCTTTTTGTCATAGGTGGTGTTCATTTGAAGCTAAGGGGCTGACACTGAGAAAGCCACGCTTGGTGGCCTACCACAAGCTGATGAGTGTTGTTCTTGAGGGTGAGTGAGAGAGAGAGAGAGGGAAAGAGGCCCCACCAGTCGAAAAGTGGGCATGACTGAAGATCGACCTAACGCACAGGTTTGCATGTGCCATCTTTGTTTGCTGCCTTGCATTTGCTGCTTTCCACTTCCCACCCACCTTTGCACCTTGAGTCGGAGAGCAACCACAAATTCAATGTCTACACCGTCTCGGTCATCTAACAGTTGCAGTTCCTAAACATCATGTAGACTTAGTACCTCCTGGGAATGTCCACTTCGGGGGACCATTGGCATGAGCATATACTGTATACATTGCATGGCATATGGTATTTACCTAGCAATGTCCCCCCTTTCGACCAAGTTCATGGCCCATCCCAGCAGGCCTCAAGAGCGAATCGATTTGGGCCAGGGAGCGCTCGGACCTGCGTGCTCGGACCCGCGCAAAACAACCGCGGCTGCGGCGAAGACATGTGAGCCTTGGACGAGTTCGGAACACATATGGGGAACAAAGACCATATTTTTGCCCGCTCCTACTGTTTGAAGGAGGTGCCTATACTTAATTAGGCTAAGTTAGCTGCTAGTATCTGGACGCAGGATAGCTCACGCTCATACTATTGATTTGGTTCCTATTTTTTGGGGGAAACTAGTCTTTTGAGAGGCGTTTTCTTGTGTGTGCTTGGGTACAAGCAGGTTCCCAATTGTTGGATTTTTCAAGGTGGGGTGGCCATGGTCGTGTCAGTGAGACAACATGGCAGCAGAAAAACATGGCTGACATGGATTATCAAGTCGTTGTATTTGGATGGCCATGCAGCCACAGGGTTGTAGGAGCAAGGACGCTACTAGGGGCTCCTGGCCTTACTACTAGGAGCAAGAAGCTATTGAAAACAATAAATATACAAAATAGAATAGTTGAACTGGTTGAGTCGACAAACGGATGTGCTGGCCAAGGATTGTGGTCCGTGTTCCAAAAGCAAGCTCATCAACGCTGGCTTCTGCCCGCCCTCTAGTACTGCAAGACATTTATGTTTTACGTTTAAATACAGTATTTATTGAAAGTTACATAATCTGATCCAGTCGGTTTGGGCTCAGCATGGCTCAGCACAAGCTTGAATTGTGTGCAGATGTTTGGCCACATCATTGGTTTTGCAGTGCTGCAGACTTCACTTCGTGTCAGTTCTCCCCGCCACCACTTCAGAGGTCTTTGTGCGGCTGGGTCGGTCCTTGGGGCACTTGATTCCGGCAGTGACCTCAATGGGAACAAACGAGACCTGATCATCACTCCAAAGAATAGTTAATTCCATGGCAGTTGTTTGATCAAGCGTAAAGATTGTTTGGGGAAACTACCATTTATTGGAAGTAAGCATGGCAAGCAGTCATTCTTCCCCCCACCTGGTCAAAACATTCAAAAAAGAACGTAAGATCAGAATGGCCCGGTCCCATTTTGCCTCCTTGGCAGACATCACGAACCCCCCGTCGAGAAACACCTTGTCGTCATCCACCCTCAGGTGGGAGCCCATGAGTCGAGTCGGGCCTCCCTCGGCGACCGGGGGGGATGCCAGTGGCTTGGAGCATCGGATCGGGTTAGACAACGATGAGAACTCACCCGAGGCTCGAAAAACAGCAGATTGCAAAGCAAGGTTCGCCAACCACTGGTTCTGCTGGAAGTGATGTGATCCACATCTTAGGTGATGCTCACTATCAAGCATGACCTGCCAAAGGTGGTGGCTTGGAGGAAAGCTGCAGAGGGGCAACCTGTCATGTTGATTCAAGTGTGGATTATATTAACTGTTTGGCACTTGAATGTGCATGTGCGATCATGTGCGTATGTGTTTTTTTGGTGGTTTCCGGGTGTTCCACTAAAAGACACGAAGCCTGCTTAGTTTAACCAACCAGCACTTGGTCATCACCACCGGACGCAGAAGCCTGGAATTGAAGTCCCCCACTGCAAAAGCTAAAGTCGGACCAACACCAAAATGGGTCAACCATGCAAGTGATATACGTACCCAAATCCATCCAATCAGCCATTTGGAGGCTTGAGAAGTACTCCCAAAAACTGGACCCCGGGGTCGAATGGATGAGAATTACACCCAAGTCAGACTGTTTTCCTCAGGGTCGAACTGTTCGTTTTCAGTGGGTTAAATGCTCTCTACAAACCGGTGGCGCTAGACTCGAGCCCGCGGTGGGGTCCGAGTGCTGGAGGCCTGGTCCGAGTGGCGCGACACATTGGGGCCCGCTCCGCTGGTGGTGACCACCTTGCGGCATCCCCACCAGCGAGCCTCAGCCAAGTCGGATCCACATATAGTGTGGAGATGTGCGGATGAAACTGGAAGATGGACCAAGTGAAGTGGGGAGGAAAACTATGTCAAAGATGTCTAACAAACATCCTAGGGGGATCTAGGACCCGGCAGTGTCCTGCAAGAATAACGGGCTCGATTCGATTTTGAATGTTTGGTTGCAAGCGATTGGCTCTATGAACATACCACGGGTGTGCCTTTGGCTGTGAGTCTCTGCTGGGTTCTATGGTGCATAGGCCGCCCTGCTTGTTGACTGGGCTCGATGCCGTTGCGGCTTGGTGTCCACCTTTGGCGGGGTATTGCTTCGCGCCCATGTAAAGAAGATGTTGAGGTTTCGCAAAATCCGTGCTCCTCATCTCAAGCCATTCCACCATGCCTTATGATACGTCATTTTTGTGTCCCACCAGAATCTGCAAGCGCTTCAAAAAGTGGATCGGCTCTCGGACGCCATGGACAGTTCTGATTGACATTGTGCAGATCTCCATTGCCCAACGCAAACATGGAAGTTGAGCAGCCTACTGGAAGACCATTTTTATATATAACCAACCTGATTGCATGTGCTTCTTTGGCAAGGCTGCATACTGCTTTCCCCCCTTCGTTGAATCGTTTCTTTCGCAGGATGTGTCTCTGCGCTTGATCATGTGCACATCGATGCGGCGGTGCCCCCCCAGCATGCAGGACAGCGATGTGCCCCCCAGGTGGCCACATTTTTAGAGGGAGTGTTTTTTCGACATGTTGGAATCACCAGTTCTTTGGGTGTTTTAACCTGTTTCTACGCATGTTTCCAACCTTTTGGCACCCTCAGCATGTGGCAGTACAAGCTTTTGTGTGTCCTGGAGTATGTAGCATCATGTAACTGCAGAAAAGGATCAAGACCTACAGTCTACGATATATGTATATATATGATATATTTATATCGACGAGCGCTTTTTTGTTGCACGTGTTTCCGGTTAATGCATGTGACAGGGTTAATAAGTTAATTCGCCACACTTGGTCCTACAGATTTCCGTGGTGGATTTGCAAAAAAAGTGTTTCCCCTAGCAGCCCTGGGGGTCTTTTGAAACGAGTTGTGTTTTCATGCATCCCTACCCTTCAATAGTTTGGACACATATTTAAATACATAAATAAAACATATATATAATCAGGAAGTTTAGTGTGCAAAACTTCCGTGTTACGGACATTCAACAGCTGTTCAACCACCACTCATCATACACCACTCATCATACACCACTCATCATACACCA